CGTGTACCCTCTTCGTCACACTGTTGATCTCTTGGATCGTCTATGGCGAAGTCGTTGGTTCACCAAGCTAAATCTTGCTTCTGGGTATTGGCAAGTACCGATGGCCGAAGAAGATATTCCTAAGACTGCTTTTCGTACACCATTTGGTTTGTACGAGTTCTTGGTGATGCCGTTTGGTTTGAACAATGCTCCAGCAACTTTCCAGCGGATGATGGACGAAGTGCTTTGCGATATGCCGGAGGTGACGGCTGACTTCATTGATGATGTCTTGATCCACTCGAAGGGGACGTGGGAGGAGCACATTCGTGATGTTTGTAAAGTGTTGGATCGGCTACGCGACATTGGTTTAAAGCTGAAGCGGTCAAAGTGCGTGTTTGGGTCCAAGGACACAACTTATCTTGGGTACCGTATTTCTCGTGAGGGTTTGCAAGTTGATCTTGACAAACTTGTGGCTGTTCTAAAGTTCCCTACTCCGAAGTGTGTGAATGATGTGCAGCGCTTTTTGGGTAAGGTGCAATATCTCGGTCGTTTTGTGGATCATCTTTCCAATCACACTACACCATTGTGAGCGTTGCTGAAGTCATTAACGTCATCTTTCATCTGGTCTCTGGATTGTGAGCGGGCGTTTGTGAATCTCAAAGAGCTATTGACGACTCCTCCGGTTTTGGCATATCGTGACTACACTCGACCTTTTATTTTGCGTGTGGATGCTTCTGACATTGGTCTTGGAGGTGTGTTGATGCAAGAGAGCTCGAGTGTGCCTGGTCAGCGCCATCCCATTACATACATAAGCCGTACATTACAACCAGCAGAGATGAACTACTCCACGATGGAGAAGGAGTGTTTAGCAGCAGTCTGGGGTTTTGAGAAACTTCATGCATATCTACATGGTTCTCGGACGTTACTTGAAGGTGATCATGCTACTGTTACTTCATTATGGAAGCGGAAGAACCTGGTTGGTCGTACGGCTCGATGGGCTTTGAAGCTTCAGATATATGATTTCGATGTTGTTCATCGCCCAGGGAGTTCTATGGCTGATGCTAATGCCCTTTCTCGAGCTCCTCTTCCTTCTCCACTCACTTCTCATGTTTCTGACGAACCTGTTGTTCCAGCATCTGTGGATTTTCTAGATGAGGATTCTGTGCCGTCAGCGGTTGCTGTCCTTGACGTTCAGTGTCCACAACGCGCAGAGCAAGATCTACCTTCTGTTGATGAGGTTCGCGAGGCTCAAAAGATTGAGCCGTGGATTCGAAGGCTTCGAGATGGGTTTTAGAATCCTGCATCACTTGCTGATGACTTGCCTTTCCGGCATTTACATTCTCAATATCGCCTTGAAGATGGCCTTCTTTATTTTGTGGGGACGGATCCTGATGATCATTTACGGCTGGTGGTGCCTTCGGTGTTTATTCCGCGGTTTCTCCATGCCTACCATGATTCTCCTATTCTAGGTGGGCATATGGGACACCGTCGTGTCACCGAGAAGCTGCGCTGATCTTTCTATTGGCCAGAGATGCGACGTGATATTATCCGGTATGTGCGTAGCTGCGTTTGGTGCCAAGCTCGTAATACTCCCCTTTGTGCTGCGGAAGGACGGTTGGAGTCAATTGCAGTTTCTCGTCCGTTTGAGTTGGTGGCATTTGATCTTATGGGACCTTTTCCACGATCGACTACTGGCAATGAGTATGTTATTATTGCTTCTGACTACTTGACTCGTTGGGTGGAAGTTGGTGCTCTTGCTAGTGCCTCTGCAACTGCTGTTGGAAACTTCCTCCTCAATCGAGTGGTGTTTCAGCATTCTTGTCCAGAGCGGATTCTTTCGGATAATGGTCTTGCATTTATGGCTGAGGTATTTCATGTTTTGACATCTCGGTTGGGGATACACCACACTTTTACGAGTGCTTATCATCCCCAATTAGATGGTCTGGTAGAACGGCTCGTTCGGACATTCAAATGGATGATTGCAAAGTATGTGAACTTTCAGCATTCGGATTAAGATGGTTATTTGCCGTCTCTTCGGTATGCCTATATCACAGGGGTGCAGAGTTCTGTTGGTGCTTCACCATATAAACTTCTATATGGTCATGATCCAATATTACCAACAGAGCTAGGTTTACCTTCACGATTGCCACGAGCTCCTGATGCTAGGTCATGGGATCAATATTTGACAAGCATTCTTCCACTTGTCCGAGCAAAGTCTGTTGAACACTTAGGCCGCGTACAAGTGGGACAACAACGGCACTACAATTCCCATCATCGTCCACCTGCAGAGTACAAAGTGGATAATTTGGTGTTAGTCCGTTTTCCCCATCTTACGGTATGTGGTTTATCTAAGGGGCTCCTTGCGCAGTGGAAAGGACCGTATTGGGTGTTGCGGCAAGTTGGACCACAAGTTTATGAGGTTCAGCATGACGTTCAGCAGGCCGATCCTCCGGAGATTGTGCATGTGCAGCGGTTAAAATGCTTCATACAAAGGGATCAGGAGCAGTTAATACCTTCTACAGATCCACCGATGCCTCCTCCTGACGTTCCTCTAGATCCCGGCCCATCTACAAGAGAACCCTGACAGCCTTCCATTATTCCGAGAGGGGGGGATGATGTGAGGGCCAAGTGTACGGCTACGATGCCGTATACTAATATTAGCGTAGTAGGATTTTGGTAGCCGTTGGATTGGTTTCAATCCGGACCACTTGCTCCTGTATATAAGCTAGGGTTTTTGGGCTAATTGATATGCACATTTCTGTATTCCCTTTCCATATTCCATGCACTCACAATATGATATTTTGGTAATTTCTATTAATAATTATTTGATAAAATTATGAAAGTTAAATAGTTTGTCCTCCTTACAATTTTTATGAAGTGTTAGTTTAATAATTTGTAACTAAATTTTACTACATATAAATCAAAATTACTTTAAAATATTATACTATTTTCTCATAGATATAACTATTTAATTTTTGTTCTCAGCTTTATTCATATAGTATTTTGTAGATAGATAAAATTATTATTTTTTAATATAATAAAATATAAATTTAATTGAATATATACTACATCCAAAACCTTAAAATAATACTAATTCAAATAAAAATATTCACTAGATAAGAAAGAGCTACAAAAATAAGTTACAAAATTATATTCATTCTAGCCAACTAAAAAACTAATTACTATTTACATTTATATTTTTTATTATAAAATTAATTTACTTTAAATTTAAAATATAAAATTAATAAATTTAAGCTTTAAATATGAACTCCTTTGTATCATAATAAATTCTATCCATTAATAGTTTTGAAGTTATTTAGATTTAATAAGAAAAAGAAGAAATACTATTTTCTCATTACTAGTAAACTCGTTCACAAATTTTTTATTAACAACTTTATTTTTCAAGAGAGATCCTTTTTAAAAAATTGACATTTATTCCTAATTTATTACAGTAATAAAAAATAACATTTTTCATTTCCTACTAAAACAATTTGTACTTCCCTCTTAATTTGCTTAATAAGTTTTCTTTGCAAATGTAGGTATTCACTACCATTTAAGGTGCTTTGTTGAGTGAGTGTTTTGATCAATTTTGATTTAAAATGCAACTTGATCTTCTCTTCTAGCATTGAACAATCTTGAACATTGATCATAAAATTGTCAATGTTACTTGTTTTTTATTTCTTGTAATGTGATAATTGCCAAGTTTTGATTAAACTCTAGAATATCAACATCAATCTTCACTTTCCCTTCATGATACAATATACTCTATAAACTTATTCTTCTTTAGTTAGGCGAGAACTTTTCTTTTTGAATTTAAAAATTGCTTCTATACGAATGGCATCCATCAAGATCACAGAAAAGATTCAACAAAAGAGAAATACAAAACAAATTCAACTCAAGAAAAAAAGACATCAAGCTCTCATTGGAATGGGATATTGACCTTGAATATCACACAAATATGTTATTGTAACCTAGTAATACCTCTTTATATAAAAAATATCGTAAAAGGTCGTGTGACCCCAGGTGGGAAGTATCACAAAAGTATATACCTGGTTCGCGTCCCAACGACGCCTCCTCCAGTGACAATCTGACCATAAGACCTCGGGTCTCTCACACAAGAATGATCAATAACTACTTTCAAACCGTCAATGCTGTCATTCCCTTCTCTTGAGCAATGATCTTCCAGAGATTGCCTCTCAACCTGTGATAGAAGGAAGCTTCCTACCGTTGGGATGGCCCGGATCCTGTGCAGCACTTCCTTCCTCATCCACGCCTATTGCCCTCACTGCCTGCTTCCTGGGCGACGTCATCCCCACGCTCACGTTCACGCTGAGCAGACCGCCAGCTTTCCCAATTATCCCTGGCTGATCGACCTGTTTACACAGGATGACCGATCCCTCCAGTCTCAATGCTAAACTCCCCGACCCACCACCACCCCGTGAACGTGGACTCCACGTTGGAGATCTTCACCACGATGCTTTCCAGCGGCTGGGCCTGGGTGCTCCCCCCTTCGGCCGTCGCTGTTCCTTAGTAGGCTGATGAAGGCGTCCGAAGATGCTTAAGGTGGTCCAACGCGACAATGTGATAGTTACTCCGGAAATATGTGGAAGCCTAGCAGCATTCCTCATGGCTAACAAAATGGAGACCTTATATTGCCGAAGCTATTGACGTGGAAAGCTTTCTGCTACGCTCCAATGGTTTCCTCCAAGGTTTGCCAATTTCTCCAGGTTTTAATAGCCGGCGGGGGTGGAGTCAAGGACCATCAGCTATAAGTCCGCCCGGCCACCGGACGATCTCGACTCCTGGTACCTGGTCGAGCCAGTGTAATAAAAAACACAAACCTAGACTTGCCAACTTGTTGGTTCGACAATGACACCGCATCTCTAATATGGAGCAATGTCAGCAATAAAAAAGTTAAACAGTTGCCACACATGAGCTCATGAACTTGCGGAGACAGAGAAAGATATTACTCTTCGACATTTATCTTCTATTGAATCAGAGAGATTTGATTCGAGGAGAAAGTGTGTTCGTGTTATGTAAACCCTCTAATTCAAGTTAAGAGGCCTTTGCGATCCAAGCTCGCAATGCAATCGTCAAACATTTGCTCCAGTGACTTGAATTGGAGCCCAAGATCGTCTTGAAGCTTTCTGGAGCTGAATCCCTTGAAATTTGCCGGAAAGACAACCTCGATCCTGCAAGAAGGCAAGCGAAGGCATGAGTATAAAGCTACGAAATAAAACTAGTCTTTTGTTTGCGTGATCTTACTCGTCGGTGGAGGCGATTGGGAGCTTGGGATAACGCTTGGACATGAAGCTGGCGAGCTCGATAGCACTCATGTTGATCGCAGAACAAACGTATCTTCCACTAGCATTGGGATTTGTATAGGCAAGGAGGTGAGCTTGAGCAACGTCGTCGAGATGGACGTATCCACCATGATCGAACCACCGCTTGTCTCCTACAATGTGTTTGGAATCTCAAGAACTTTTTTTTTTCTCGAGATTGAAAGGCTTTACCTTTGAGCATTCGGACAATGTCGGCAGTACTTGTGGTGGCGCTGGACGAGAGAAGTTCTCCAACGATTAAGCTGGGAGAGATTGTGATCACATCTAGGCCGTTGTCTTTCCCAAACTCGAGTGCTGCTTGCTCGCCTAGAGTCTTTCCCAGAGGATACCACATCTAGACTTGAAAATCTTGTAAGAATGAGCTTATGGAAATAAGAAACTTGCCTCAAGCTCACGGCAGTAGTCTAGGGAGCTCCACACCGACTCATCCAAGACGTCATTGGGCTTGAAGCCGTCCCTTACACGAACAGCACCTACGGATGACGTGCACACCACTCGCTTGACTGTCGTGGATCTTTTGCAAGCATTGAGCACGTTAAGAGTTCCAAGCAGGCATGGATCCACAATCTCAGTCTGGAAGAACCAAAGAACAGGTAGAAGTTGTAGACCAAAGATGCAGAGAGCTGAATAGAAGGGGTCAAGCAAAGTTACCTGCGGATCCTTCTTGTAGATCACAGACACGGCAGCCGCAACATGGAAAACTCCATGGCAGCCTTGGACAATATCGTCAAAGGCGCCTTCAGTGACAAGGTCGGCGCTCTTGAGCTCCAGCCTCTCACTAGCCCCTGGAAGCTTCCACAGGTGGGAAGTCTCCTCTATCACAACAAGAGAAGCAATTTCCAGTTACAATCAATCCGCATTCTTGTCTTCCTTCTCGTTTCTACGTACCTGACTCGCGTACAGTCCCGACAACGTGATATCCCTCCTCCAAGAGCCGCTTCACGAGCCAAGATGCCAGGAAGCCAGCAGCGCCGGTGACACACACCTTCTTCTCGTTCTCCATCGCCCGTTGACTTCGGCTCTCTCACACGATCAGTAGCAAAGAAAAAATTCTCTCAAACCTTTCAATAGTGAACAGTGTACCCCAATAGCACTTTCATTCCCTTCGCTTGAGCGATGATCTTCCGGAGATTGTCTATCAGCCTGTGATAGAAAATGTCCTAGAGTTTGAGAAACCACAGCAAGGATGGCCCCGATTCCATGCTCGGCTTTGCTTCTTGTCCGTACCCATCTACACAAGCATTGATCGTTGCAATGCATTTAGGAAATGCATTCAGAGGTGGTCAAAGAACTAACAGTTCGGGCGCCAATGTTTTAGGGTTTAGGGTTTTAAGGATTCCTCTGCCCGCATTTCATCGGCGCCCGCCAGTCCCGGAGATGGGCGACGCCACAACGAGATGGCCGCCGACAAGCCATCAATACAAATATCCCCGATTGCGCAAGAAGCTCCGCGCTGGAGCGGTGAGTACGAGGACAAAGGGCGCGAGACAGACTCCTCTACGCGTTCGTTTCCCGAAGAAGTACCTCCTCCGTTCGAGCTCCAAGGTTTTCTATTTTTCTAGTTTTATGATTTCTCTATGTTTTGTTCAGGAAGTGACGCTCGAGAGGCTGAAATAGTATATATTGAAAGGAAATATCTCTCCCGGGAAGAAGATTACCATCAAGACACTTCGCGCACGAACACATTTTTTTACTTTTTAACTTCCTGTTCTTCCCGACTGAAAAATATGTTCTTCTTGACTGTGCAAGTATATTGAGGATGGGGTTTTGCTGCTGGGACGCGGTCTCAAGGATTCCGAACATTGAATTCTAAGGAAGGATTTGGTTTGTTTGGAAATAGGTTAGCAGATGCACTACGGTTGCTGGGATCGCAATCCAGCAACCGTTCGTAAAGTTCACGACACCGGTCACTGGTTCAAGCTTAGTTCCCCAAGCTGCAAGGCCCAAACCAAAGATTGCGCCACTGGTTAATCGCCCCGTGAGCCCCATTCTACCAGAAGGCTTTGTTCTCAAAGCTCCAGTTTGTGGTCATCCTTGGCCTCCGGAAGGAAAGAACACCAACAAGACTGACAACGATGAAACTAAAGGTGGCGGTGACAGTTAAAAAAGGTGGTTTCATTTGGAGAGATCAGACTTACGGGGAGATTCAGTTTCTAGCTCTATAATTCTTTTCATTTGATGTGGTTCATGTTTGATTTGAATTTTTGCGTTCTTTTCTCTCTTTCTTTGTGGAATGTGGAGTATTTTCCATTGAGAACAAGAGGTAAACTCTACTGGCCTCTTTACCTATCGTTTTAACTTTCTTTACGCTGCCAGCCTTCATAAATTTGCATGCAGGGTCTTTACCAAGGCGGCGCTAGCAGCTAGTGTCTTGCTCTTTCTAAAAATCTCCAGCTCTTCGGCTGTGAGCTTTTGTTTCTCCGCAGTGAGGTCGATCGCACTCCCGACGCCATCGCCCGTTAAAGATCTAAGAACTTGTGAGGCATTTCCAGTCTTTGATCGTTCTTCCAAGCCGCATTGAGCCGAGGTGCGTTGATATCTCGTTTTTTCTTGCGTGACCTCATCGCTTTTCGAAAGGTGAACCATAAGTGGAGACGATGGTTTCGAGTTCATAGAAGAAGGGGAACTCCAAGGCCGTGATGCACCCGCAAGAGACGACATGGAGCTTGATCTGGTGGTGGTTTCTCCTACTGCTGCTAGCGCCGCGGTAACCTCGAAAGAAGCTGGCGCTCTCTTCAATCTCATTGAGGTGAAGCAAGACCTGAGCTTTGTGGAGAAGGTGCTGCTGTCGAAGTCCCAGATCTTCCAGCTCTTCAACAAGCTTGCTCATTCGGATGGAGGATCAGCGATGGTTTCTCGACACGAGCCTTTTGGAGGCTGTGTGCTGGAGACGGTGGGTTTTTACGAGAGCAAGGGGTTGATGGTGGACATCTTTGCGAGAGAGAAGGCTTTCGTGGAGGAGGACATCGCCAAGCTGAGGTCCGACCAGCTTCCGGCGGGTCTTTACGGTGCCTTGCACGGCCGCAAGCTCTTGATCTTCTACTGGCAGCCGAGCAAGAAGTTCACGGATGCGAGGAGGAGCGACATCTCTTGCAACTTCCTACGCTACTTGGTGGAGCTGTGCGACGTGGTATATAGCTGCATTGAGCTGGAGAATGCTGGCCCGTCCATGGCCTCGATTGGCACGTCGAGCAGCAAGAGAAAGCGGACTCAGCGGCTCCAAGTTTCCATGGTGAAGTCGAGCGACAACGTTTTCAACGTCAGGAGAGGCTTTCGGTTGCCTGCCGGAGGTGGAGCGTCGAGGCTCTCTCCTCGCAAGCTTAGCTAAGGCTTCCATCGCACTGGGCTGCTTGAGACCTCACACGATCACGCGACCGTGCCACCCGAGAAGCTCAGTGAAGTCGTGGAAAGCTGGGGGACGTCCAGATCGACTACACGGAGATGAAGGACGAGGACTGTATCCTTTTCTGCGAGAGCGCCATGCCAGATGTTGGTCAGGAGCTGTGTAAGGCATTGGCAACTCTGGATGAAAAGATTGGCGCCTCAGCTAGCGAGTTTTCTAGCATTGAAGAGCTGTCGAACATCAAAAAGGAGGAGGTTCTCTCGGTGTTTGCAAGTCTGAGTGCTTACCTGAGGCTCGTCTGTCCGTGGGAGGAAAAGCTTCTGGCAGATGGCGAAAACCGGGCCTGCACAAGCTCGCTAGACTTCATCAAGTATCATGAAGGGTGGAACGGCCAGTCCATAAAAGCTGACGGGAAGGCGCTTTCGGAGATGGGGACGAAGCTGCTGGAAGTTCTAGCAGCGGACAAGAAGAAGAAAGTGTTCATTGGATCGAAAGTCGCGGTGGAAGGCTATGACGGATCCTTCGTCATTGCTCGAGAAAGCAAGAGGTTTTCCGGGACTATTACTTCTGGGGAGACTTTCACCGTAATCTCGAGGGATCACTCTCGAGTGGACGCTCAGATCATAACAAACTCCGGCGGTGCTCGTGAGGTTGTTTCATCCGACAACTTTGATCTCCTTGTCGAAAAGAAAACCGTGTAAAAAAACGCCAGGTTTCACTCGGTGGATCATCCGGCAGGAGACCATTTCAGGCAGTGGCCTGATTTCTGTGCGGAACAACTGGGACTCGCGCTCCAGAAGAAAGTCCAGCTTGCAGCATCTCTGACGGACGAGGTGGCTGTCACAGACGATTGTCTTCTGCAATGCATTCTTGCGGACTGCCTGGACGAATTCGATAGCGTGGAGTTCAACAAGAAGCCAGGCTTGATGACACTTGCGAGCTCATGAAGACTGTGACGCTTTCGGATATCCGTGTCAGTCAGCTCGAAGCACAGGTCGTCTTGTTTGGTAGTCAAACGCATCTCCTGATACTTGACGAGAACAACGTCCTCCAGTCGGTCGTGCTGGATGTAACTTTGGCGTCTCAGACTTGCCAGATTTGCCTCCGCGACAAGCTTGGCTCTGCAGAAGAAACAGCCAAGCTGTCGAGCTCTTGCTACGAGCTCGATTACCTCTACCACATCTTCAACAAGTACGCAGTGAGCCTGCCTCTGCTCAGAGCGTCACCGAGGTGCATTACATTTCGCATGCTCATCAATGGATCCCACAACGGTATTGATGCCGAAGTCGTGAAGCATCCTAAGATGGCGCTGGACAATCTTCGTTGAGAGAAAGTAAAAGAGGTTCTAAACATGGACATCTCGTTTGAGGCTGAAAACTTCTGGATTTTCTAAACTAGTCCACATAGAAGGTTTCAAATCTAAACTAGTCCCTAAATCTAAAACTACACTACAAAAAGAGTACCTGCTTGTGCCAATCCAAGTCGAGAGTGTGAACATGAGCATGAAGGTGTTAGTCCCATGCCTTTGTTCCCTTGAAGGCGATGGGTAAATAAAACATTGCCGTGAAGAACCAAAGCGATAGGCAGAATGATAATGTATTGCAATATATTTTGTATTAGGGATAAGTCTAAAAAGATTTTAAATCTTATTTTTATAGTCTCTACAAGGTTAGAAATACAATTCTAACCTTGAACCTCTCAAGGAGTGCACGGATTCTTTCTTTTGCTGTGAGTAGCTCCTTATTGAGCCTTTGCATTTTCCTGTTGAAACTGCTATGCAAAGTTGAAGGATTCCTTACAGGATTTTGGAGTTGAAATTCCATGGTTGTGGGTGCTCTTGATTGTGGTGTTCAGTTGCTTGAAACCATCCTCGAGTTAGTGGAGAAAAAGGAAAAAGGCAAGCTCGGAAGTTCAAGCTTAGAAAAATAAACTTGAGAGGTTCAAAGTTAGGATTGTATCCTTAACCTTGATGTGAGTAGTAATGATTATAAAAGGAGGACTTACAATGTTTTTAAGCTTATCTCTAATACAAAATACATTGTAATATATCGTTATTCTACCTATCTCTTTGGCTCTTCAAGGCAATGTCTTACTTACCTACCACCTTCAAGGGAACAAATGTGTGGGACTAACACCTTCATGCTCGTGTTCACAGTCTTGACTTGGATTGGCACAAGTAGGTAAGTGCACTCTTCTAGTAGTGTAGTTTTAGATTTAGGGACTAGTTTAGATTTGAAACCTTTTAGGAAGATCTCATGTGGATGTTTTCTTCCCAATTTAAAAAATTTAGAGTTTTTCACTGGTGACTATGGTGGGATAAGGCAACATGAAGAGCTCATATGATAGAGCAAACCAAGATGATCATTTCCCCCAAAACTTCAAGAAAAATGGACCAAAGACACATAAGAAAATGGTGTAGGAAGAAAAAGACCCAAAAATCAAGAAAAACAAGACCGTAAAAGAAAAATGGTGGAAGACCATGAAGAAATGAAGAAAAAAATGGAGTGTAAAACCAAAAACATGAAGAACATTTAAAGATTGAAGCCACCTAAGTCATGGAAAACTTGGAACATACACGTAACTGTTTTTGGCGAGAGGTTGAAGAAAGTGAATATTCCAAGAATTTGTGACAAAGAAACAACCAAAGAAAAATTCTAGTGGCTGGAGATGGAAGAAGAATGAAAAAGCACAACTGCCCATTTGGAGACACAAGCTATACAAGGTACAAGAACTGCCTTTTATGTAGTTTCAGAAATTGTGCAAAACCATACAAGCAATGCTATCTAATATGGCGATGCAACACTTGCAAGCAAGCAAAAGCAAGACTCTAAATCAGGGATAAAAATGCCACAGCAGAAGAGAAAAAGAAATGAGAAGAAATAACTCAAGAAAATGACACTAAAAAGAGTGACGATAGTTTTAAAAAAAGAAGAGAAATAAAGGTTCAGATGCTTTCTAAAACTCTAAGAAACAATTTTGTGACTCTTTTACAAATTGTATAGCAAATAGGAAAAATGCGAGAATGAGGAAATGTTGAAAGAAAAGTATGTTTACTTCGATTTCTTACAACTCAAAGAACCCTAACTTAGGTGTATCGAGGATACATTTTTTAGCAAACAATTATTGAATTCCTAGGCATACATAAATATGAAACTTCTTATAAACTCATGAATTTGGACTTCCTGGGAGGTCACCTAGCCTAGTACTATTAGGACGCTTAACCCCAAATATCCTAAGACCCTTAACTGATTGGAAAAGGGGTGCACTTTTGTTCATAGGCCTTTTCCCTTTATATTTGAATTCATATGGATCGTCTTTCGAGTCATTCCTTTTGATTGCTTATAATCTACCATGCTTCCTTGCAAGTTCATGCCCTCATGAATGGAAGTTGAAAGTGGGAGCAAA